GAGTTAATGAATTAAAACCACTGAGAGTTTATCATCTTACTTTAGCATTGATTTGGGGTTCCTCTTTTCAATCCATAGCACACAGGTGTTCATTTAAAATAGGCCCTTAGAGTTTGAGGGTCCTTCTAACATTTAACTCATAAAATTCCCTGCAGATATTTCTCTGTAAGAAAATAATCTAGAAAAATTGGGGAAAAGGATTATACAGAAAAATGCTCATTTCAGCTTTATTTATAACAGCCTTCAAATTGGAAACCACCTAAATGGGATGAATATCTCCATGGTATGCTCACTTTATGGTATATTATGCTTACAAAGCATTTAAAACTTGGAAAATGTTTATTAAAAAGTGAAGTGAAAAAGTCAGCGCATAAAATGCTGCATAAAATATAATCACAATTACACAGAATAAGTTAAAAGAATAAAAACGTATCAAGTGAGGAAGCACAGAAGTGAGACACAGCACTATTACAGGGATTGCTTTTAGATAATAGGATTCTTAGTGATTGATTTAAAAATATTTTGTTTGTCGACTTTTGCATTTCTTTGATTTTCAAAAATGTTCACATTGAGCACACTAAAACAAGATGTGTGTATTTCTTTACACCAGGATAAAATCAACTTTTGTTAACAACTAAAGGAGAGAATGTCCTTGCTTAAACATGGACCCACAGCTTCCAGTTTTCACGGGATCTTCTGAGATAGCTGCTGTCTTACTGAGGTCACCATGGTGTTCGTGTAACCAAATCCAGTAGGCACATCGTGCCCTCATTTTCCTCAACCCTCTAGCAGTATTTAATGTGGTTAATCAGTCTTTCTTGACACGCTATCATTTTTTCCTGGAAACCTGCTTGCTTCTGTTGCCACCCTTGACCCTTGCCTCCTTCTCAGTTCTTGTTCGTTTCTTCCTCTTGTACCAAAACTCTAAATGTTACACTCTCCTCCTAGTTACACTTGCTTTTGTCACCAAAGGCGTCCCATCTGCTCCCCTCTATATTCAGACACCTTTTTGGTTTATGGATCTGCCCGTCTCTCCCTTGTAATCACTTGTCTAGCTGCTTCCTTGACGTCCTTGTTTGGATGTCCCCAAAATATTTCAAACTTATATACAAAATGAAATTCTTCAAGGTAAGTCTGTGACATAGAGACTAAATGAAGGTCCATGTGTCAAGTGATGTAGTAAACATTGGTTTAATATAATTTTCTTATTTTTTCAATTTAAAAATGTGTGAAAATAGAAACTCTAATAGTTTCTTCCTGAATCTCAATGGATCATATTGCTTACTCCTTAAAATACAAATTACCTTCTTAAAGACCAGTGTTTGCATTGCCAAAATCGGAGACAAAAATTCCAGGCTCTAATAAGACTTGCAAAATAAAAGGATTTTTCTACCGTCACTTTATTTTATATCTTATGCAATGTGAAGCAACATTTATATAGTACTCACATTATTTACAATCCCCTGTATATGATGCTATTTAGGTAAGGTCCTAGGCCATTTGAACACCACTCATCCGCTCCCACACCAATGTTTATAGGAGAAGGACACAGGAAGTTTTCACTGTAACCAATGACTACATTAAAATATTTTGGGGTTAAAAAAATCATTCCAGTGAGCGATGAACAGAATTATTTTCTCATTGGATTGAGTTCAATGAAAGGAGCCCCCCATGATTTTTTTTTTAACCAATTAAACATGACAACATAATTTTTGGACAGGTTTTTGTTACAGGGACTTTGTGACATACCTATTCAAGTTCTAGAGGTTTGCACTATGTCTTCAAGGAGCTAAAACTATCTTGATGTATTTGTTAATTACATGTTTCTATTTCTTCCAAAAAAAAGGAAAACAGAATTACATGCTGAGTGTTGTTCAGCTTTGGGATTCTAAAAAGGTAATTTGAACCAGATTCCAGATTTCTGTAGTCTCTTGTTACTCAAAATGTGTTGCATCAACTAGAAACATTGGCTTCACCTGGGGCTGTATTAGAAATCACATTCTCAGGCTCCACCCAGACCTGACGAATCAGAACCCACATTTTGAACGAGATCCCTATGTGACTTGCTTGCACACTAAACTCTGAGAAGCTGTGATCTAGAAGCGTAAGCCTTTTGACTTCTTAAAATCTAGCTTCATATTGCTATCACTAACTCAAATTCTACGTATTATGATTCTGACTACAATCATAGTAGCTTTTACTTAATAAAACATCAGACTGAGCGCAGTGTAATCCTAAGCCCTTTAAGAGTCCAAGGTGGGCGGATCATCAGGTCAAGAGATCAAGGCCATCCTGGCCAAGATGGTGAAACCCCATCTCTACTAAAAGTACAAAAATTACCTGGGCGTGCTGCCACACGCCTGTATTCTCAGCTACTTGGGAGGCTAAGGCAGGAGAATTGCATGAACCCGGGAGGCGGAGGTTGCGGTGAACCAAGATCACGTCACTGCACTTCAGCCTGGCAACAGAGCGAGACTCCATCTCAAAAAAAACAAAAACAAAAACAAAAAAACATAAGCTTAGAAATTAATAAATTCAGTAGAAAGGAAAATTATTTAAAATTAGAAAAAAGGTTTGAACAGATATTTCACTGAAGAAAACATATGATGGCAAAAGCAAGTGAAAATATGTACATCATTAGTCATTAGGTGAATGCAAATTAAAACAAAAATAAGATGACACTCCACAACTATTAGAATTGCAATAATAATACTATTAACCACAACAATAATACCTAACAATATTAAGAGATATTGAGGTTGTAGACTCTCTACTAGTCTAGTACTCTCATACATTGCAGGTGAAATTGCAAAATTGTATAGTCACTTTGGAAAACGGTTTGGCAGTTTCTTTTTTTAAAACTTTTATTTTAGGTTCGGGATTACGTGTGTAGGTTTATTGTATAGATGGACTTATGTCGTGGGGGTTTCTTGTGCAGATTATTTCATCACCCAGGTACTAAGTCTAGTACACAGTAGTCATTTTATCTGATCCTCTCCCTACTCCTACCCTACACCCTCAAGTGGAACCCGGTGTCTGTTCCCTTCTTTGTGTCCATGTGTTCTCATCATTTAACTCCCACTTATAAGTAAGAACATACTGTATTTGGCTTTCTATTCTTGCATTTGTTTGCTAAGGATAATAGCTTCTAGAGCCTCTAGCTCCATCCATGTTCCTGCAAAGGACATGATCTCATTCTTTTTTTATGACTGCATAGTATTCCATGTTGTGTGTGTGTATGTGTGTGTGTGTGTGTGTGTGTGTGTGTATAAATGTGGTGTATATATATATATACATACCACATTTTCTTTATCCAGTCTACCAATGATAGGTATGTAGGTTGATTCCATGTTGCTATTGTGCATAGTGCTGCAATGAACATACATATGTTCTTTTCAATAGAATGATTTATATTCTTTTGGGTATATACCCAGTAATGGGATTGCTGGGTGGAATGTTCTGTTTTTAGCTCTTTGAGGAATTACCACACTACTTTCCACAATAGTTGAGCAAATTTACACACCCACCAGCCGTATATATGTGTTTGCTTTTCTGCATAACCTTGCCAGCTTCTGTCATTTTTTGACCTTTTAATTTTTTTGAGACAGAGTCTCACTCTGTCACCCAGGCTAGAGTACAGTGGCATGATCTTGGCTCACTGCAAGCTCTGCCTCCCAGGTTCAAGTGATTCTCATGCCTCAGCCTCCTGAGTAGCTGGGATTACAGGCACATGCCACCATGCCCTGCTAATTTTTGTATTTTTAGTAGAGATGGGTTTCACCACATTGGCCGGGCTGGTCTCGAACTCCTGACCTCAGATGATCCATCCAGCTCGGCCTCCCAAAGTGCTGGGATTATAGGCATAAGCCACTGCTCCTGGCCCTTGACTTTTTAATAATATAGTTTGGTAATTTCTTATAAATGTAAACTCATGCTCATCATATGATTCCACAATCCTAGTCATAGGTATTTATTCAAGCGAAGTGAATTTATGTCATACAAAAGCTCATAAATGTTTATAGCAGTTTCATTGGTAGTCACAGAAACATGAAAACAACCCAAATGTTCTTTGACTAATGCATGAACAAACACTGGTGTATCCATATAATACAATGCTATAGGACTATAAAAAAGAACAAATTACAGATATACACAAAAATGTGGAGGAATTCACAATACATTACACATTATACTAAATGAATAAAGCTACACATTTGTATGACATTCTGGAAAAGATAACACTATGGGCATAAAGAGCTGACAGTAGTTGCCAGAGATTCAGGATAGGTGGAGATGGCATATTTGAACATAAAGAAATAGTCTTTGTTGTGTATCACTGGAGTTACTCTGTATCCTGATTGAGAAAGTAGCTACATGACTCTAGGCATTTGCCAAACCTCATAAAACAGTCTGGGTGCAGTGGCTCATGCCTGTGATCCCAGCACTTTGGGAGACTGAGGTGGGAGGATTCCTTGAGCCCAGTTAGAAATCATCTTATGCAACATAACAAGACCTCATCCCAGCTAAAATACAAACAAACAAACAAACAAGCAAAAAATTAGCCAGCCATGGCTAACTATGATTGGCACACACCTGTAGTCCAAGCTACATGGGAAGCTAAGTCAAGAGAATCACTTGAGCCCAGGAGTGTGAGACTATAGCGAGCCATGATTGTGGCCACTACACTCCAGCTTGAGCAACAGAGTGAGATCCTGTTTCAAACAAATAAACAAAAACTGTGTATCAGAAAAAGGAGGCTGGGCATGGTGGCTCACGCCTGTAATCCCAGCACTTAGGGAAGGTGAGGATGGAGGATGGTTAGAGCATAGGAGTTTGAGACCAGCCTGGGCAACATGGGGAAACCCTGTCTCTACAAAAAATGCAAAATTAGCCAGGCATAAAGGCACACACCTGTTAGTCCCAACTACTGGGGTGGGAGAATGGCTTGAGCCCAGGAGGTGGAGGTTGCAGTGAGCTGAGAACATGCCATTGTATTCCAGTCCCAGTGACAAAGAAAGACCCTGCCTCAAGAAGAATAAGGAAGAAGAAGGAAGAGAAGAAGGAAAAGAAGAAGAAGAAGAAGAAGGAGGAGGAGGAGGAGAAGGAGAAGAAGAAGGAGGAGGAGGAGGAGGAGGAAGAGGAAGAGGAGAGGAAGAGGACACTTTAATGTATGTAAACTAAAAGTAAATTTACAGGAATCATTTATTATTTGCAGTGCATGCTCTTTATTCTTGAGCCAAAGAGACATAGCTTAAGCAAAGGTTTGATCAGTGATGTCACATAATGGCAATTGTGACTGCAAGTTCGTGTCCCTTTATCCCTTATCACCCTTCCAACCACATCGCTGTGATTGAGTACAGACTGCGTCCTTTGTTTGTTTTCATCCTCCCCCTTTGATTACTCTCTCTTTCCTGAGCTGTATTCTCCTTCCCTGTAAATAAAGTATGACCTGTATAACACAAAAGGAAATGGAAGCATAAAAATTTGCATACTGTAATTAAACTGCTGTATCATGAGCTTTCTTTCTTTGGCTATGTTGGAATGAAAACAAAGGTATACCTCTGAATCAGAGTTTGGAGTGTTATCCCTGGAAACTGTAATGAATAAAATAGGCCAGGAAGCCTTGTGTGCCTTACAACCTTAATGCAGCCATGTGCTGTACTGTTTATGGGTTAAGCACCTGGCACCACAGTCCTTCCTGGACTGGCCTTTATCTCAGGTAAGTGGGGCCTTTCCGGTTGAATCTCTTCCAGAGAGGTGTGCAGGCAAAGATGATAGCCTGGCCCATGGCTGAATGGTTGCTTCTCATCCATGGAATTCATTTTCATATTTGAAATGCTGCATAATGTGGTGAATAAAGCACTAAACTGGAAATCCAGGATATACAGTTTGTGAGGACTTGCCGACTGCACTTATATGATCATCTTAACAGCTTAATGCTTGAATTAATTCAATCAGTATAATGGTTGGTAATTTGTAATAAAAATTCTGACAACTTATACACGGTTTAAATTTATCAAGTGCTTTTATGCAGTTTAACTCTTTTAATCTTCAGGTTCAGATGGGGAAGAAAAAACCTGACTGAGTGAGGTTTGGTGTCCTGTTTCTTATAGAACAATTACCTCATCTTTCCCTCCATATTCATCCTGTGAAGACACTGTAAGTAACAAAGCAGATTTGATCTTGGACTTTTCACGATCCTGAATCATAACATTCAAGACCTTTTTCTTTTTCATACTTAGTATTTTTTTAAGATTATAGATGAAGGTAAAGGTCACTCAGCCTGTTAATTGCGTCTTTAGAAAATTGAGCCATAAGCTTGTAAAACATAACTCCATGAAATTGGAATGTGTTGATGCTCATGACATGTATATAAGGGGATGAATTGCTTCATAGATATAGTGACAGGTGAGGGAGAATAAATAGAGGCCATTTATGAGGTACTTTGAATTCTTTAGGGTCAATAAAATGATTACAAAGTCACATTGGTCAATGAGACATAAAAAGAAACTAAAAATAAAATGGGGCACAATTACAGTTTGGGTGATGGGTTAAAGTCTAAGTTAGGCATATTGGAGTGGAAAAAATTAAAATGATTGATTAATCTTAAAGCTAAATTAGAAATGTAGTTGTGAACTTCATGACCTTGTATAGAAGTCATTTTTTTTCTCAGTTCTTTCTGTCTTTCTGTCCCCCAGTGCTTATGGACAGTGAGTGGCCACATCTTATGCCCTAATACTATTTAGTTCTTGAACTACAGAGAACCAAGGCTCCTTGGAGAACAATTGATTCCATGCCTTGGGAGTCTTGGGATGATGCAAAATTTGGATAGATTATGAGCTGGAGTGGCTGCCAGAAAACAAGGAAATTGTGGCAATGTGTAGAGCTGTACTGAAAGGACAAACGAGATAGCTTAACAAGACCCCCACTAGTCAAGCTGCAACAATTTGAGCATCCAAAGAAAGAAACTATAACTAGTTGGAATGAATTGAGTCTATAAGAAAGCCATGACATTCAAAGAACAAATAAGTTCATTAAAATGTATGAGATGATAATTATGCTACAAAAAAGGGTGAATGCAATTTTCCAATTAAGTAAAATTAGTAGGGGACTATTGGTATATATGTTTTGTTTCTCCAAGTACATGTTTATAGGTATTAATAAGTTGGTTTTTGGCTGGATGTGGTGGCTCACGCCTGTAATCCCAGCACTTTGGGAGGTTGAGGCGGGCAGATCACGAGGTCACGAGATCGAGATCATCCTGGCTAACACGGTGAAACCCCATCTCTACTAAAAATACAAAAAATATTAGCCAGGCGTGGTGGTGGGCACCTGTAGTCCCAGCTACTTGGGAGGCTGAGGCAGGAGAATGGCATGAACCCGGGTGGTGGAGCTTGCCATGAGCCAAGATTGTGCCACTGCATTCCAGTCTGGGCGACAGAGCCAGACTCCATATAAAAAAAAAAAGTTGGTTTTTTGTTTTATTTTGTTTTTTACTTACCTCTGTGCATACTAGGGAAGGAGAAGCAAAAAGCATCTGAAAGGAGGTAGAAATTACACTAAGAACAGCTAGGGACCATCACCTCAAGGAGCCATAGACAAGAATCAGGTGGATAGAGTGTAAATGGGTTTGCTACATGATGGACTGGTCAAAATTTAGGATGAAGACTGACAGATCAACTTAGCCTTGTATCTCCTAGCAAATAAAACCTATGGAAGACTCAAACAATTTTACAGAGATACAAAAGTTACACAATGACTTAAGTTATACATTGAGGCTAAACATCATATATTAGTTAGCTAGGGTTGCTGTATCAAAAATACCACACAGTGGGCAGTTTAAAAAATTGAAATTGATTTTCTCCACTTCTGGAGGCTGGAAATCTGAGATCAAAGTGTCAGCAAGGTTGGTTCCTTCTGGGGGCTATGAGGAAGGATGTGTTTCAAGTGTCTCTCCTTGGCTTGTAGGTTGCCTTGGCCTCCCTTTGTCTTCACAGAGATTTCCCTCTGTACATGTCTGTGTTCAAATTTTCTTTTCTTATAAAGACACTAGTCATTAGACTAGGGCCCATCTTAATGATATTATATAATTTAATTACTTCTTTAAAGATTCTATTTCAAATTATGGTTACATTCTGAAGTACTGGGGATTATAACTTCAAATACGGATTTTGGGAGGACATCAGTCAGCCCATAACATACCCCATGACACCCATGTAGTGAAGAAAGAGAGAGAGAGAGAGACACCAGGTTGGACAAAAAAGCATGGCTATGAACATTCTCATTGGCACAATCTGTCGATCTTCATCGTAAGAGAAACCTAGGTGATAAATACCTGCTAGCATTTAACTCACTGTGGAAGTCTCAACTGGGTTCTTTGGTCTGATTAATAGTTGATTGATAATGCAACCATTTCAATTGATTTGCAGTAATTTTTTTGATGTGTGAGAGGTCATTGTATCTGTAAAATGCATTAAATGTATTAACTGACATAAATAAAGAAGAAATTGATTAAATCTATAACATTGACAGTTTTCTGATAGGTTGTATACAGATATAAATATACATTTTATAATTATTGATATAATTTGCGACTATCTTATCTGTTTTGAACTACCTAAGAAAATGCAGCTCTCTCAGACTGTTCAGGCTGCTATAACAAAAAGACCATAAACAGAAGGCTTATAAACAACAAACATTTATTTCTCATTATGTTTTCCCATGTCCTTCCCTTAACTCTTGTTGATATTCCCTCAGGCAACATTATGCCCACATTTTCTCAGAGATGAGCAAAGCATGGGTCTATCCACAAAGAAGGCCTTTATAATAAAACCACAGCATGTCCTTGGCCCCAGAGCTCACTGTTTATGGGAAAATTGATTCAATAAATATAATTCATTAAAAGAGGCTCATAACTTGAGGTATTACTAGAGTAATTCAGTGGAATTTGCCTTTGAAAATAGGACTGTATGGGAGGCCAATTCTTAGCCTGAAGGAATTACCTGAGAACAAGACATGACTTCAAATCTACTTTACTAAACAACTCTATTCATGTGACCTACAGTGTCCTATATATCAAGTCTGTGACCTAAGTCAAGGCATCACTTTATGGGAAACTTGCCCATAGAAATTAATGTCAGTAATCATTATCTTTTGAATATCTTCTGTAGTGCTATTTGATAATCTGTGTACAGCAATCATGGACTATTTCATCTAACTCACAGTATACATATTACTTTCCCAAAGATAAAATCAGAAATTTAATAATACTAATCAGGACTCTAAAAGAGGGACAGAGCAAGATAGCCGAATAGAATCCTCCACCAATTGTTTCCTCTGCAGGAACACCAAATTTGACAAATATCTATGTAAGAAAATAACCTTCATAAGAACCAAAAATCAGATACTAGCTCAGCCACAAGTGGGGTAGAGCACCAAGCAGCCTCTTGAGATCCCCACTTCCAGGCCTGGCTGTTGGAAGTCATTTCTGGACCTGCCCTGTTACCGAAGGGAGTCCTCTGTCTTGAATGGTGAGTCCCAGGCCTAGCAGCCTTTACCACAAGGTGAAGAGTCCTTGGACCTGAAGCGAACACCAGAGGTAGCCTGACAGTACTCTTTGTGCACCTGTGGTGGTGGCGGCCATGGGGAAAGGCTCCTCTGTCTGTGCAAAGGAGAGAGAAGAATGGGAAAGTCTTTGTCTCGTGGTGTCAGTTCCAGCTTAGTCATAGTAGTATAGGGCACCAGGTAGATTTCTAAGGTTTTTACTCCAGTCCTTGGTTCCCAGTTGGCATCTCTTGACCCACTTGGGATCTGGGGTAACTCACTGCCCTAAAGGGAAGGACACAGACATGGCTGGTATCACCACCTGCTGATTGTAGAGCCCCAGGACCTGGAGACAACATAGGCTGTATAGTCAGGGAGTGGTTCCAGCAGGTCTTGGGCAAGATCCAGGGCTGTGCTGGCTTCAGGTCTGACTCGGCACAATTCAAGTGGTGGTGGCCACAGGGGAACTTGTGTCACCCCACCCCCAACTCCAGCACAAGGAGAGAGACTCTGTTTAGGAGAAAGTAAGGGAAGAGAACAAGAGTATCTGTCTTGTAATCCAGAGAATTCTTCCAGATGTTTTCCAAGACTACCAAGGCATTACCTCTACGGTTCTGCAAGAAACACTGCATTACTGGGCTTGGGGTACCCTCTAATAGAGATATGGTTTAGATCATGACACTCAAGTCCCTTTGAATACCTGGAAAGCCTTCCCAAGAAAGATGGGTACAAACAAGCCAAGACTGCAAAGACTACGATAAATACTGAACTCCTCCTTGCAGACATGGACAAACATCTGAAAGTATCAAGGCTATCCAGGAAAACATGACCTTACCAAACAAATAAAATAATGCCCCAGGAACCAATCCTGGAGAAACAGAGATATGCAACCTTTCAGAAAGAGAATTCAAAATAGCTGTTTTGAGGAAACTCAAAAGAAACTCAATATAATAGAGAGAAAGAATTCCAAAATCTCTCAGATAAATTTAACTAAGATATTGAGATAACAAAAAAGAATCAAGTGGAAATTCTGGAGTTGAAAAATGCAATTGATATACTGAAGAATGTATCAGTGTCTCTTAATAGCAGAATTGATCAAGCAGAAGAAAGAATTAGTGAACTTGAAAACAGGCCATTTGAAAATAGAGAGTCAAAGGAGACAAAAGAAAAAAGAGTAAAAACCAGTGGCCTACAAGATCTACACAATAGCCCCAAAAGGGCAAATCTAAGAGATTTTTTGGCCTTAAAGAGGAGGTAGAGGAAGAGATAGAGGAGAAAATTTATTCAGTTGGGCATAATAACAGAGAACTTCCTAAACCTAGAGAAAAATATCAACATTCAAGTATAAGAAGGTTATATAAAACCAAAGAAGACTACCTCAAAGCATTTAATAATCAAAGTCGCAAAGGTCAATAATTTTTTTTTAAAAAAGGGATCTTAAAAGCAGCAAGGGAAAAGACACAAATAAAATACAATGGAGCTTTAATATACCTGGGAGTACTTTCTCTGCTGTTGCTCAACATAGTTGAGCTTGCTCTACAACTGAAAGTACTAGCTAGAGCAATCAAAGAAGATAAAGAAGTAAAGGACATTCAAATTGAATAGAAAGAAGTCAAATTATTCTAGTTTGCAGATGACATGATCTCATATTTGAAAAAACCTAAAGACCACCAAAAAACTATTAAAACTGATAAATTTAGTAGACTTGCAGGATACCAAATCAACGTACAAAAATCAGTGGCATTTCAATATTCCAACAGCAAACAATCTGAAAAATAAATCAAGAAAAGAATTTCATTTACAATAGGTACAAATAAAATTAAATACCTAGGAATTAGCTTAACTAAAGAAGTGGAAACTCTTTACAGTGAAAACTATAAAACATTGATGTAAGAAATTAAAGAGGACATAATTTCATGGATTGATAAAATGTTCATACTACTAAAGCAATCTACTGATTTAATGCAATCCCTATAAAAAAAAATACTAATGACATTCTTCACAGAAATAGAAACAAAATCCTAAAATTGATACGGAACCATCAAAGACCCAGAATAGCCAAAGCTATCCTGAGCCAAAAGGACAAAACTGGAGGAATCATATTACCTGACTTCAAATTATGCTACAGAGCTGTAGTAACCACAACAGCATGGTATTGACATAAAAACAGATATATAGACCAATGAAAAAGAATCGACAATCCACAAACAAGTCCATCCATCTACAGTGAACTCATTACTGACAAAGGTGCTAAGAACATATACTGGGAAGAGGACAGCCCCTTCAATATGTGGTGCTGGGAAAACTGAATACCCATATGCAGGAAAATGAATCTAGACTCTTATCTCTTGGTATATACAAAAATCTAACCAAAATGGATTAAATACCTAAAGATAAGACCTCAACTATGAAACTACTCAAAGAAAACATTGGGGCATCTCTCCAGGACATTGGATTGGGCAAAGATTTCTTGAGTAATACCCCAAAAGCACAGGCAACCAAAGCAAAAATGGACAGATGGAGTCACATGAAGTTAAAAAGCTTCTGCACAGCAAAGGAAACAAAGTCAAGAGACAACCCACAGAATGGGAGAAAATATTTGGAAACTATCCATCTGACAAGGGATTAATAACCAGAATACATAAGGGGCTCAAACAACTCTTACAGGAAAAATAAATCTAACAATCCGATTTAAAAATGGGCAAAATATTTGGATAGACATTTCTCAAAAGAAGACATACAAATGGCAAACAGAAAAATGAAAAGATCCTCAACACCATTGATCATCAGAGAAATGGAAGCCAAAATTAGAATGAGATACCATCTCACTCCAGTTAAAATGGGTTTTATCCAAGAGACAGGCAATAACAAATGGTAGAAGGGATGTGGAGAACAGAGAACCTTCATACACTGTGAATATAAATTAGTACAACCACTATGGAGAACAGTTTTGAGGTTCCTCAAAAAACTAAAAATAAAGCTATTAGATGATCCAGCAGCCCCATGCTAGGTATATACCCAAAAGAAAGGAAATCAGTCTCTCAAAGAAATATCTTCACTCTCATGTTTATTGCAGCACTATTTAGGATAGCCAAGATTGTCCATCAACAGATGAATGGGTAAAGAAAATATGATATTTATACACAATGGAGTACTATTCAGCCATAAAAAAGAGTAAGAATCGGCCAGGCACGGTGGTTCACGCCTGTAATCCCGGCACTTTGGGAGGCCGAGGCTGGCAAATCATGAGATCAGGAGATCCAGACCATCCTGGCTAATGCGGTGATACTCCGTATCTACTAAAAATACAAAAAATTAGCTGGGGGTGGTGGCGGGCGCCTGTAGTCCCAGCTACTCAGGAGGCTGAGGCAGGAGAATGGCATGAACTTGAGAGGCGGAGCTTGCGGTGAGCCAATATCGCCACTGCACTCCAGCCTGCGTGACAGAAGGAGACTCCCTCTCAAAAAAAAAAAAATAAATAAATAAAAATAATAAAAAAAAAAAAGAATGAGAATCTGTCATTTGCAGTGACATGGATAGAACTAGAGGTCATTATGTTAACTGAAATAAGTCAGGCACAGAAAGACAAATTTCACATGTTCTCACTTACTTGTGGGAACTTAAAATAATTGAACTCATGAAGATGGAGGGTAGAAGGATGGTTGCTAGAATCTGGGAAGAGCAGTGAAGGGATATGGGGGGAGTTGGGATGGCTAATGGGTAAAAAAAAATAGAAGAAATGAATAAGACTTATTATTCGAGAGCACAACAGGGTGACCATTACCAATAATAATTTAATTGTACATTTTAAAATGACTAAAAGAGTATAATTAGATTGTAACACAAAGGATAAATTCTTGAGGTGATGAATTCACCCTGATGTAATTATTCTGCATTGCCTGTCTGTTCCAAAATCTCATGTACCCCCTAAATATCTACTTCTACTGCATACCCACAACAATTAGAAATATAAAATTAATATAAATAAAAACTAAAATAAAATACTAATCATTTCTGAGTTTATCTGAAATTCAAATACTTATCTTAAATGCTATAAATCTAGTGACTTTTAACTAAAATACACTGTTTTTTACCCCTCGAATCTTAGTTACCCATTTGTGAAATAAATATGACACCTACTCACGAGACCCTTGTCGAGTTCAATTATATTTACATAGAAGGAAGGCACTCCTCTTTCCATGGTGAGACCCAGGATGGCTGGGTGTTTTCAGTCTTCTCCTCCCAAAACCTCAGTTTTGAATATATTTTTGAGTATAATTATATTTACATTTATCTGTATACAACTATGAATGTTGGAGGTGAAGTCAATTCCGTCTCTCAGTCTTAAATGAGGCCCATTGTGGATGGATGGTGACATGGCCACCCTCTTCCCTTTCGACGTGGCATGTGATCAGGGTCTGGGTTTGCTATTGCTCAGGGTAGGGTTGCCAGATTAAGCAAGCGAAAACTTAACAAGCCCAGTTAAATTTAAATTTCAAGTAAACAAAAATTTTCTGTTGTATGCTTCATAAAATATTTTGGGCATATTCATAAAAAAATTGTTTATCTCAATTTTTTTTTTTTCTGGCAACCCTAATCATAAGCCTGGGCACTAGAATCAGCAGCTGTTACTAGAGCCAGAGCCTTCTTGGCAAGAAATGGACAAGTCAGCAATTAACAGGACAGCTCTCAGAATTTGGGACAGGCACTGAGGGCCAGTCTCAAACATAAAGAAAAGGAAAAGACAGGCACAAAGAATGTGACTATACAGCCCAAGCCCCATAGACGACTTGGGAGGATTCTTTCCTCCCATTTGATTTTCCTCTTTCATTTAGGGAAACAAGCAAACAATTCTATTTTTCTGTTTACCTCAAATTTGGGAACTCTCTAGATTGACATTAATGCAACTATTTTTTTTTTTCTGTTTTAGGGTCACATGCATTCACAATACACTAAAATGTGAGAAAAGGATATCTTTATTTTCTTTCTAGTCTTTCTCGGAAGCCCCCATTTCACTGGGTGATGGAGAAAAATCTAAATTTAGTCCAGTCTGGCAAACAATTCTATCTAATAATGCAAGCGATCTTTTGGGGATAATGCAGCTTTATAGACTTAAATGTTTGATTTTTTTTTTCAGATGCTTTCTCTAATATTCGTATTTCTCAGGTACCCTGGTACCATGTTGAAGAGAACTCCAAAACGATAGAGTTTATCACCTCAGAGTCCTGCCTGGAACAACAATCACTGATTAACTTTGAGTTCTGTTACAGACCCTGTGTAGTGAGGTGAGTATTAAAGTCAGGCCTTGATAAAAGGATGAATAATTTCATGAGTTTCTGTAGATTCAGCAGGGACCAGAAGCCAGCGGAGCTGACTTTCCGTATGACTGAAGTGGAGAGATTCAGGCTATGACAGAGTGAAGGCTGAAATGTGCTTCTTCTGGCCTCAGCAACATTTGGAAAAGAGCTCAGTGACAGAAATAGATACAGGAATTGAGATAATGGGGGCCTCGTTTCTCCTCAGCTTGGGATGTGGACTGGGAAACAAGGAAGTTTTAAAAAGATTCAGGAAGGTTTGGGGAAGTCAGAACGTGGGGAAATGGATGACATCCTTCTCCAGGCCACCAGTCCCGGAGAAGCACTCCACAAGGACACCTTCAACATAGGCAGAGATGAGGTAGAATTATCTGTGGGACAGAGATGAGGTAGAACTATCTGTGGAGGGAGGGGGCTGGACAGTGGGCCTGAGGCAGTATGAGCAGCTCCACAGACCTGGGAGAGCGTTAGAGGGATCCAGAACTCTCCCATTGAGATGAGGGGAGGATGGAACATTTCTGATTGGGCTGGTGGTCCAGCAGACTCTCAGAGTCATGATGTAAAAGAGGCTGCAGTGTGGGGAAGCATGGTCTCTCTGCAGAAAAGCCACAACCTTGTACCCCAGACATGGGCATTCTCATGTTGACCCTGAAGAGGTCTTAAGTCTAGTGAGCACATCAGACTGATCATCGGTTGAAACAGTGCAGACTCAGATTGACAGTGCATGGGTTTACATGACCCTCTTGCTTGCTATCTTCAAACACCTCTTGCCTGAGTGTCTGTGCATTTGTTCTTTCTTCTCTCAAGGATACCCTTTATTTTCCTCTTCACTCCTGTGCTTTCTTAGCCTTCAGATCATTATTCCAGTTGCCTCTTCCTAGAAGACCTCCAGGACCACCACCTGCATTATATTAAGAGACTTCTCTTCTTACTTTTCCTGCTTGTCTATTTTCTGTCCTCCACCATATAAGTTCCATGATGTCAGGGCTCTTTCTGTTTGGTTAATTTCTGCATCTTGTGATCGACTGCATGTTTGTGTGCCCCTCAAATTAATATACTGAATCCCTGAACCTCAATGGAAAAGTATTTATAAGTGGGGCCTTCGGAAGGTAATTAAATCACAAGGGTGGAGTTCTCATGATGAGATTAGTGCCCTCATAAGAAAAGACAGGAGAGAGCTTCCTCTCTCTCTCATTTGCTCTCTGTCTCTGTCCCTCTCTCTCTCTCTCTCATTTGCTCTCTCTGTCTCTGTCCCTCTCTCTCTCTCTCTCTCAATCTTTCTCTCTCTCTCTCCCCCCCCCCCCCCCCCCCAGTCATATGAAGATGCAATGAGGAGACAGCTGTCTGTAAACCGGGAAGATGGCCCTCACCAAATTCTACCACGCGGCCTTCTGACATTGATCTTCTTGACTACAGAAGTGTGAGAAATAAATTTCTGTTGTTTAAGCTACCCAGTTAATGATATTGTTATTATAGCAGCCAAACTGACTGAGATATATCTTCAGTGCCTAGCACATAATGGAAATTCAATCAATATTTGTTAAAAAAATGAAAGTTATTCCATTAATCTCCTCCCATATCTGCTGTCATTATTATATTGTCCCGTCATGAACTGGGCCCCTACTACATGTTGGCACCATACTCAACCATTCATTTAAATTATTTCTTACGGTTGAAATGCCCTGTTACATTGCGCAAATAGAGAAACCAGGGCTCGGGTGAGTTCATTTTGCCTGAAATTTTCAGATTAAATGTTAGTAAGTAGGAGAGTTAAGAATAGACTCAGATACTTCAAATTTTAAAGTTTTCTATTATGTTACCATGTCTTTCAAATAACAAAAATAATGTTTTCATTTTACAAGGTGCTTTGCTTTATTTTGGAAAATGTGAGGTGAATTGGAAAGAGCACTATTAACATTTTACTCTGGATAATTCCTTGCTATAGGGTGTTCTTCTGTGCACTGAAAGATGGTTATCAGTATTCCTGGGCTCTATCCACTAGGTGCCAATAGTATAAATGGTCCCCTTCCCCAGCTGTGACAATCCCAAATCTCCAAACATTGCCAAACATCTCGTGGAGGCACAATTAATCCCAAAGGAGCAACAGTGGTTTAAACTGACACCATTTGCGTGATCTTGGTCAGTTTATTTATATCTGTGAGCTCAGTCCCTTCCACCACAGAGCGGGAATTACAATATTTGCCGCCCGCACTACAAAGCTCATCAGACCAATCTGCCTGGTGAGATGAAAGGGAATCACCACAGATAGAGAGCCCATTGTATGTAAGGCATCACTCCTGCATGTTTTCTTGTTTAGTCCACCCCACATTCTTATGAAGTCCTATTATCTCTTTTTTACATATGAAGAAAGCGAGGTTCAGAGAAGTAAAGTGCTTAAAGTCACAGATTCAGCAGGTGTGAGGGAGCACTCACACTTCATAGCAAGTGCACTGGAAAAATGTGACTGGTCAACTCTAACCTACGATATGTGTGGAAAATATGACGGACTGCTACACTTGGTTAATTGGTCAATATTATCAACCTGCAATAAGACAAACAACAACAACAAAATATGTATATATAATTATATATATATAGTTTTATTATATTATATATAATTTTATTATATATTATATATAATTATATAATGACAACAGTAAAAATTCCCAAAAACCATAAAAGCAGTAAAAAACAAAAGTTTGAAGTATTATACATTATATATATAATTATATAATGACAACAGTAACATTCTCAAATTTATATATATAATTTTCTTTGGCCATAGTGGAAAAGAAAGTGGGAATATTAGCATACGCCTTGAATTTTAAAACTTGTGTAGACATTCTTTAATTTTCTTTATGACTATGAAAATAAACATTGTACCTTCACAGAAAGGAAACGATCCATAGATACCATTAAAAAACACAGATGAACCACTTATACAATAGCATTTTATTCTCGTGAAAGAGCAAGGTGATGTCCAACACTAGAATTCATCACATTAGTGTAATTTCATGGAGCATCGACACTTCAAACTTTTGTTTTTAACTGCTTTTATGGTTTTCGGGAATTTTACTATTGTCATTATTTTTTACATAAATGTACTTGGTGTTCTCAGTAGGGATTAAGCAGGAAAAAGTTGTATTGTTTTGGGAGAGAGAGACTACTGGGTGAAAGGGAAGAAGGAAGGAAGAGGCAGACAGTATGAAAACCATTCCAGCTGGGCGCGGTGGCTTACACCATTAATCCCTACACTTTGGGAGGCCGAGGTTGGTGGATCACTTGAGGTCAAGAGTTCGAGGCCAGCCTGGCCAACATGGTGAAATCCTGTCTCTACTAAAAAAATACAAAAATTAGCTACGCATGGTAGTGTGTGCCTGTAATCCCAGCTATTTGGGAGGCTAAGGCAGGGGAATTGCTTAAACCCAGGAGGCAGAGGTTTCAGTGAGCTGGGATCCAGCCTGGGTGACAGAGCAAGACTCCATCTCAAAAAAAAAAAAAAAAAAAAAAAAAGGCACAGGTGGAGAAGCCGTAAGACAACATCCTTTTTCTCTATGAGAGAAAAAAGTGACTTTTAAAGTACATTGCTTTAAAGTTCATAGGGAACCAAAAAAGACCCCGCATTGCCAAGACAATCCTAAGCCAAAAGAACAAAGCTGGAGGTAGCATGCTACCTGACTTCAAACTACACTACAAGGCCACAGTAACTAAAACAGCATGGTACTGGTACCAAAACAGAGATATAGACCAATGGAACAGAACAGAGCCCTCAGAAATAATACCACACATCTACAGTCATCTGATCTTTGACAAACCTGACAAAAACAAGAAATGGGGAAAGGATTCCCTATTTAATAAATGGTGCTGGGAAAATTGGCTAGTCATAAGTAGAAAGCTGAAACTGGATCCTTTCCTTACTCCTTATACAAAAATTAATTCAAGATGGATTAGAGACTTAAATGTTAGACCTAAAACCATAAAAACCCTAGAAGAAAACCTAGGTAATACCATTCAGGACATAGGCATGGGCAAGGACTTCATGTCTAAAACACCAAAATCAATGGCAGCAAAAGCCAAAATAGACAAATGGGATCTAATTAAACTAGAGAGCTTCTGCACAGCAAAAGAAACTACCATCAGAGTGAACAGGCAACCTACAGAATGGGAGAAAATTTTTGCAATCTACTTATCTGACAAAGGGCTAATATCCAGAACCTACAAAGAACTCAGTCAAATTTACAAGAAAAAAAAGCTAACAACCCCGTCAAACAGTGGGAAAAGCATATGAACAGACACTTCTCAAAAGAAGACATTCATACAGCCGACAGACACATGAAAAAATGCTTATCATCACTCACCATCAGAGAAATGCAAATCAAAATACATAGACCAGGGAAACCCAAGCCTACCTTTTTAAGGGAACTTCATGTAGTTTGGAGACTTTTTTGACTTCTGTGAATTGTATCAACAGCTTTCCTGGTTCTCAGGGGATAACTATCTTCTACAGAAAAATCTTTCTTTTCTGTAGATAGAACAATCTCTCTCTCTCTCTCTCTCTCTCTCTCTCTCTATATATATATATATATATGTAAATACATATATATACACACACGCTCATTATATAATCACTCTTTATATGTTTCTCAGTTGGGCCCTGAGCGCTGCAGCTTGTCTCCGTTATCTGGAAGCTGATTGCATGCCTCCCTTCTCTCCCTGGCACGGCAGCTGGGAGCAACTTGCACATGACCAGGCTTTATCATTTTACATTGGAAAGAAAATGTTTCCATCAAGGATATCAGTGAAGCCTCATGTTCAATCTTTTGCGAAGTCCGGACAAGGGGAAACGTTGTTAGTTTTTTCTTAACCAGAAGAACATAGAAGCCAGAAGAGACAGTGCTGAACTATTGTCCCCTAAATCAGTTTCCAGTGGAGGAAAGTGAGGCTCAGGGAGGTAAAAGTGACTGCCTCAACTGGTTCATCAGCACCAGTGGCAGTGCCATAAGGAAACACCAGGCCTCCCATAACCACTCAGTGTCAGAAGCTCAGGCAGCCACAGGTGTGTGAGGAAAGGGTGGGGACATTCCAGAAATGCAGCTGTCAGGACTTTTTAAAATTGTTTTTCTTTCCTCTTGGGTCAATCATTGGGTTTTTACACTCACTGTGGTCACCTGAGCCAGATACTGCAATTGCATACCCTGGAGAAGAAACTGATGTGATACCCAAGACTAACACTTAGTTCCTTCTTTGCCTCTAAGGACTAAGTGGATTTGAGATTTTAGGCAAGTGATTGTCCCTTTCTGAGCCTGTGCTTTTTTTGTTTGCTTGTTTGTTTTTTGCTTTTTTGTTTTTTAATTATCATGTCTTTTATTATTAACAACAATTGCACACTTTTTGTTGGGGAAAAAAGGTATACAAATTGAAAAAACAGTTAACAATGTTTCCTTAAGGAGAGAAGTGTTAATGCTCTTCTCTAATTAGGCTTTCAATGGTATTTGGTTCTAATTTTTTATTTTCAATAACTTCTTTATTTCCCTTGGGATATTGAAGCTTTACTTAATCTTATTCTTTCTAAGTAGGGTAGAGAATTCCTGTTTCAAGTCTCCACAAAATAAAATCCCTTTTCCTGACATAGTAGAAAGGACAGATGCTTGGATGTTTGGTTGGCAGGGGAAGGGAAAGAGTCCAGGCGCTAGTGATAGAAATATTCAACCAAATCCTCCAGTTTTCGACTCCACCACTCACTGTGGTGCCTTCCTCAAGTCCTTGGAGCTCCAAGTCTCTGGTGAATATTTCAGGCAATGAGAGGAGTCCCTCAATGAGGCAAAACGCTTTTCTCTCTGTCTCTTTCTGTGTGTGTGTATATGTATATGTGTATGTGTGTATATATATGTATATGTATATGTATATACATATCCTGTTGTTGCTTCCTCCTTAAACTCCACTAGAATAACAATGAAAGATATTTAACAAATTAATCCACAAATGTGAATAGTTGAGAGATGCCAACAATTTGAAAGATGGAAAAGAGGTCTGCAAATGCCCATTGGCGTAGCACAGCTGAGAAAGCTCACTGAGGCGCAGAGTGAGATGCAAAGGGATGGCCAGTGCAACATGGGCCTGTGTTTTTTAATCAACAATATGAAGGTATTGAAACTGATCCATAGTCTTCAAACATTTTCTTTTTTTTTTTTTTTTCTTTTAGCAGGGAGATCTATTTCTCGAGTGAAAGGTAACTGAAACTGTCATGCATGAAACAAACCCAAGCAAGCAGCTGCAGTTGCATGGTCAGCTAAGCCAAGGGCAGAGAGATGAGCCAGATGGGCTTCCCATCCCTGGAGGAAGCCCCTGTTCCCAGAGGGCAGGCCCGGAGGCTCCTTCCCAGGTTCTTGGGGCATCACCAAAAAGTTGAAATCCCTGTGT